GAATCCTCGATGACAGAAAAAAGGACTTAGAGAATGGAGCCTTTATTTTTTCTTTTAAATGTTTGTTTTTGACTAGGTAATACATTCATAATGTTTCGAAAATTCAAGAGGTTCAAAGGGTGAGCTGTGAAAAGTCTCCCTCCCATGCCTTCCCTTGGCCACGAGCTGTGTCTCTTTCCGGAGATAGAGAAGTAAAGGAAGCTATATACAGAAATGGTCCTTCCATTGTTCACTGGTGCATTACTGTGTGGGAGATGGCCTCTAGATGAAGAGGTGTCCGAGAAGAGGAGTCAGTCCATTTATTAACCACCCCAAATCTGCAGGAAGTTCACAGATTGAGGTTTTGAAGGGAAGCCTTACTTGGTATAAGGAGACAATGTCTCATGCTAATAAGAGGAAAGGAGAGCTGCTGTGTATGTAGGTTGCATTTAAAGGGCTAGATAATGACTCGCAAGGTGTTTATTTTCTCCAAGAGAGGTTACTGCTAAAAGCACCACCATCTTTTTAATGAGCAACTTGCTAAATGTAAAACATGATCATGTTTTTGTATTATTTCGGTTAAAAACTGTAGTGATTACCAAACTCTTCCTTGTAGAAGAATTACTGAAAGCAGCTTGAAAATCATAAGCATTATTTTTATGTCTCAGAGCCAAAATATTTCCCTACTGGAATATATCTCTAATGATGTCATAAATTAATGGAAAAATAGCAGTAACATTTGCTCTACTGCCAAGGTTTAAAATACTTAAGCAAGGCATATTTATTTTAGTGATATGAATATTTAATTTTTCCTTATCTGGAAAGGTATTAAAGAGTGTTAATCATTTTATGTTTTGGAAAACTTTTAAAGTTTACCCTTGATATCAGCTGTTACTCTCCCCAAAAGCTTATTTATTTGCATCTGTTTTTATTTACATAAGCAATAAAGATATCAGTAGGTCATTTTTATGAAATCCAAGAAGCATATTCTAAATTTCTCTAGATGAGTAAATATAAAAAAATAGCCAAGAGAATTTTGAGAGTGAAAAAAATGCCCCATCAAATATACAAATATACTATAAATATATCCTAATTAAATAGTAGGATATAGACAGGGATAGACAAACAGCTCATTAGAACATGATAAGCAATCCAGAAACTGACCGATGTGTATATTAAAAGAGAATTTCACATCCACAGGGAAATAAACGGCACTGAGATAACAAACTACTAATTTAGAAAAATGTAAAGTTAGTTTACTTTTCTTAATCATACACACAAATAAATGCACCCCTCCAAAGTATAAATAACAGGTAAAAATAATAGTTTTATCCTCTTGGCCTCCTCCATCCATAAGACACAAAATAATGAAGTAAAATATAACAATACGGATATATTTGAATATACAATAATTTAAGCAAAATACCATTAGAAAGTTTAAAAGTTAAAAGATGGGAGAAAAATATGGCAACGTATGCAATAAAGGGCTGATATCCATGATATCTAAGGAGATTTTACCAATCCATATAAAAGACAAACAACGACCCAAAAAAATTGATCACAAACTTTTTTTTTTTCTTAAGAGACAGGGTCCTACTTTGTTACCCAGGCTGGAGTGTAGTGATGTAGCCATGCCTCCCTGCAGCCTCAATTTCTTGGGCTCAGGTGATTGGCTCACCTCAGCCACCGAAGTAGCTGAGATTACAGGCATGCACTACCATGCTCAGCTAATTTTTAAACTTTTTTCTAGAGATGGGGGTCTCACTATGTTGCCCAGGCTGGGACAGAACTCTTGGGCTAAAGTAATCCTCCTGCGTCAGCTGGTCAGAAGTTTTGGATAGTCAAGTCAAATAATAAAAAAGAAATGGTCAATAAAGATATGTTAAGATGCCCAACCTAATAGAAATCAATGAAATGGGGTACATTTCATTGATTACCTTAGCCTCCACAAGTAGCTGGGACTACAGGTATGAGCCACTATGCCCAACTAATTTTTGTATTTTTAGTAAAGACAGACAGGGTTTGCTATGTTGTCAAGGCTGGTCTCGAACTCCTGAGCTCAAGTGATCTGCCCACCTTGGCCTCTCCAAGTGCTGGGATTACAGGCCTGGGACACTGCATCCAGTTGAATGAGATATATACTATTATAGAAAGATTTCTTAGATGCTGTTTTCGTGTGTGAGAAAGGGTGCATATAGATGCACACATGTACACACACATATAATATATATATACACACACATGTTTGTAAATACAGGGAAAAACATCTAAAAGGATCTACATCAAGCTTTTACTGGTGGATACCCGTGAGAATAGAACTGAGGTTGGGGAAGGAGTGAAAGGGATTTTCATTGATACTTAATAGAATGTTGTATTGCTTGAATGCTTAATTAGAATATATTATTTGTATACATACAAATACATACATAAAAAAGAGGCCAGAGGCCAGGTGTAGTGGCTCATGCCTGCAATCACAACGCTATGGGAGACTGAGATGAGAGAATCGCTTGAGCTCTGGAGTTCAAGACCAGCCTGAGCAACAAAGCAAGACCTTATCTCTACTAAACACACACACACACACACACACACACACACACACACACACACACAGGCACACAAACAAAATGACCCTTACTTCTTCCTGTACCCTAATTTTATTGTACTTCTTCATATAGAGTACAATAGAAGAGAAAGAACCTCTCTTAGTATCAATATTTATTTTTCATAAAATGAGAACCTCCGTAAAAATGTACTTTTGAATTTTGATTATTTTTGACTGTAATTTATTCTTTATATCATGCTATCAAATGAAGATAAGGCAATCAGATGCTCCAAATTCTAAGAAAACCATGCAGAAGTAGAACTATCCTGAATGACAATGCGTGGGCTGAGTGCAGTCACTGCAGCTGAGGGGTCAGAACTCATCTGCACCAAGCACTCCACCTTCCCAGTTGCCCGGGGGCCCCAGCCAGCATGATGTCACCAAACATATTCAGTCACCTTTTAATAATCAGCTTTACTACAGAAGAGCAACTACAGGTGTCACACTTCAGCATACATGTTTCCTGACCCTGGAAGTGGAAGGGAGAAAAGAGGGTGGCAAAAAAGTGTCTGGCTTGATAAGGACATGTTGTTGGTTCCAGAGTAGATTATGATAGAATAAAGCCCTCAAACAGACACAAATCCATTCGGGATATTGGAAAGCTCTACATGTATATACAAACAAACCATATAGGAGAAGATAAAGAAAAAAAAGTACATTTAGCCCTTGGTGTCTGCAGGGAATTCATTCCAGGACCCCTTCAGATAATCAAATCCATGGATTCTCAAGTCCCTGATATAAAATGGTGTAGAATTTAGACACAACCTACACCCATCCTCTCGTATACTTTAAATCATCTTTGGATTACTTATACTACCTAATACAAGGTAAATGCTGTGTAAATAGCTATTTTACAGTATTGTTTTATGATCTGTGCTACTTTTATTCCTGTGTTGTTATTTTGTATTTGTTTTAACATATATTCTGGGCCGGGTGTGGTGGCTCAGCCTGTAACCCCAGCATTTTGGGAGGCCAAGGCAGGCAGATCACTTGAGGCTAGGAGTTCGAGACCAGCTGGACCAACACGGTGAAACCCTGTCTCCGCTAAATATACAAAAATTAGCCAGGCATGGTGTCACATGCCTGTAATCCAAGCTACTTGGGAGGCTGAGGCAGGAGAATTGCTTGAACCTGAGAGGTGGAGGTTGCAGTAAGCTGAGATCATGCCACTGTACTCCAGACTCTGTCTCAAAAAAAATTTTTTTTAAATTTTGGATTGTGGTCAGTTGACTACACAGATGGGGAACCCATGGATACAGAAGGCCGAACATAACCCGAAAAGAAAGGAGTTTCTCTGGCACACAAGACATTAACACAGGAAGAAAGGCTGTGGAGCAAGTCTATAACAAACCTCGCTCCTCTCCATCAATTTCAGGGAAGTCTGCTGTTAAAACTGGAGGTTATACAGCAACTTCCTTTATATTTTGACATGCTCCCGGCACACAGTACCATCATCACTGGGACTGCAGGAACAGTGGCACCAGGAGGTATGGCTGTAGCTTAGGGGATCAGTATTTGTTTTCCACAAAGACAATCATGATCTTCTTCATGTAATCGATCATCTATCCTGGTACTTTTTAATTGATTCAATTTTTAAAGATATGATTTGGTTGCAAAATTTTAGAAACACACCTGTTATGCAGAGCAAAGTACATTCATCCTAAAGACAGAAATAAACAGAACACCTGTGAAGTGAGGGGGTCAGATTATATTATCACTCAGGTCCCTGCTGGGTTTGGTAACCTGTTAAAGAAACCGAAGGGGACTCGGGGAAAAATGATAAGATGATGGCAATCTCCTGCGGCACCAGTAAAATCAGGATTCCCATTCTAAAGTTAAATCTTCTGAAAAGTCAGCTTCAATCCTGTTAAGTCTATTGTGAAACCAAAGCGTTATGTATGTGCCCACACGGACTCTTGCCAACATCTATTCTGGGCATACAACTTCAACTAAGTCTGTTCAAGAGCAGAATAAATGATGTTGTCTTCAGGCTCAGAAAAAAAAAAAAAAAAAAACTAAGAAAGGAACCAAAACGTAGCCCTTTGGAATGATTCAGACTTCTTTGAAAGAAAAGATTTAATTTTAGAAATTCTTATTCAGCACGATTAGTTTTAGTGTTCTTGAAGGAGAGAGCTGAGTTTATTATGAAATTCTAGAAATTTATGATCTTATCTAGTCATATCTTTAAAACTGTCACATTGACTATTAGGTTCTTAAAAGCAAACAAGAATGAATGTGAGAGGCGGAAATGTTCATAACATGGTTTTAAGCTAAACTGTTTAAAAACATTTTTTAAATGTGATAAAATATACCTATCATAAAATTTACCAGTGTAAGCAATTTCTTTTTTTTTAAACCAACTTAACAAGGAATCACATCTTAAGCATTTTCAATTTCTAAACTGCATTTTGTCACCTACCTTGTAAACTGTCGACTCTCTTCATGAACTTCCATTTCTGTGCTTTTAAATTCATTTAGTTCTTTCCTTATTGCTGCCTAAAAAGGAAAAAAAAATAGATAAACACAATTATTATTTAGGTCATACATTGCCCCAGTATACACAGCATCAATGAAAAAGATCTTTTTTTTTTTTTTTTCTTTTTTAAGAGATAGGGTCATGCTCTGTCTCCCAAGCTGGAGTCGAGTGGTACAATCACAGCTCATTGCAGCCTCAAACTCCTGGCTCAAGTGATCCTCTCACCTCAGCATTCCAAGTAACTAGGATTACAGGTGTGTGCCACTATGATAAGCTAATTAAAAAATTTATTTTGCAGAGACAGGGTTTCAACATGTTGCCCAGGTTGGTCTCGAACTTCTAGGCTCGAGTGATCCCCTCATCTCAGTCTCTCAAAGTGCTGAGATGACAGGCATGAGCCACCATACCCAGCTTAGACATTCTTTTAGGGTATAATAAATGTAATACCATACTATAGCCAAACTACAACCATGACAGACTTTCTTCAAGTGCTCTTGGCAAGGGGGATTGCGGGGGGCCTTTGCTAAACTCACCTTTGAGCCTGGTCTATGAGTCACACGGGACATCCCCCACCCACGATGACCACAAGGAAAGTGCAGGTCATGACATTTTCTGAGAAGCAATATCATTTTCCTACGGAAAGTTCTGCATTGAATATTGCCCACAACAGCATGGCTCTTACTAGCTGCCAGACAGCTACTGAGAGAGCAATCACATATATATTCTTCAATACTAAAGGTTTATAGACATAGAACTTACAATAGCACAGCACTTAAAGCTACTCAAAGAAAATACCAAATATAATGCATTGCTATTTAAATAACACATAATCTGTGTCATGTAATTTTTGGTATTTGAGGAGATGGCTTACATCATTCAGACCAAAATGTTAACATTAGTTATCTGTTAAATAGTGGCAGGATTATAGATGGTTTGTGGTTTTACAATTTTCCTTATTTTTATTTCCTAACTTTTCTACAAAGAATATTTTACTCATGTTTTTAAAAAGGTGCTAATAAAAACACCCCTGTAACCTCTAGGCAAAACGGACTCTTCAGCCAAAACAAAGAATGATAAGTCATAGGGAACGACTTCACTGGGAGATAAAAAGTCTCCTTTGTGGTTGGAAAATAATAAATTTTAGAAAAGGGATCAGGCAGAAGAAACCCCTGGGCCCTCTTTGTGGCTCTCTCTCTCATAGCTATCTTTCTGCAATACACAAGCCTTTCCCTCAACACTCCTTCCAATGCGATATTTAAGTCCTGTGTCACAGATTGTCTTTTCTCCCCACATATATTCCTCAGGCCCTGTAGTTTCTACGGGGAACCTGTGACTAGGAACGGTGACAATGATTCTTGCTACTGACTTGGAAACGAAGAAACAGAAATATGTGTGGGCCTGAGTCCTCTGTGACACGCCTGCCCAGTTTGTCTCACCAGTCTGATCAACAGTGAGAACACTTTTGCTTACTGCAAAAACTGATGCCTAGAAATATTACACAGATGAAGAAGGAGAAATAGTGAGGATATTCTATACCACTCACCAATTAACATCTATAAAACACTCTTTCTTGAAAGGACATATTTTAAATTGAACAGTGGCAGAGAATCCTGTCTTGATGTTCATTTTAAATTTCTTCTCCAAATGTAAGGTTTCAGCAGAGGAAGTGAAAGCGGTACACTTGGAATCAGAAGACAGGGATTCTAGTCTTGGCTCTGCCCTCATTAGCTGCGTGACCCTTACTGAATCACTCCAGACCTCAATTTTCTTATCTGGAAAACCAGGAGGAAATTCTTCACAATATCATGAGAATTAACCAAGAGTATATTTGAAAGTGCTTTGTACACTGTAGAGTCAATAAAATGTCATTATTACGAGCCTCTTGAAAAACAAATTAGTCTGTGATAGGGATTAACAATTCTTTAATTGTTATTTATGAAGAGTCTACTGGAATGAAAGAAGATAATGCCAGGGAAGTTGACTTAACCATGAATAAGATGAAGTCCTTATTTGCAATAGTAGGTTGGCTACTGATCTAAGAGTATGTCAAAAATCAATGAAAGCCTTCTGTGAGAGTCTATTGAGATATGGAATTTACAAAACATTACAATTGTAAATTGTGTGCTATACATCCTTTATATTAATAACATTTATAATTCACGGATGACCATATACCTATGTATAGAGAGAGACTATTTACAGGCACATCCTACATGCTCATTGGCAGTGTGACTTTGCTATTCCCCCATCAAGAGGTGAGGTCCATCTCTCCAACGTTGACTCTGGGTGTGTCTGGTAACCACTTTCAACAAATGAATACAGTAGAGATGATATGTGCCAGTCTGATGTAGCCCTTCACTGGCCTGACATATTCTGCTTCTTGTTACTTGAAAGCCAGCTGCCACGTAAAAAAAAAAAGTGAGTACTCTCAGAAAACCATGCTGTGAGAAACCCAAGGTACAGGCAAAGGCCCTGGAGGATAAGGTGCTGGGTAGGTAGAGAGAGGGGCCAAGGAGCCAAAGGCACCGACGGTTAGTGAAGTTATCTTGGAAGTGAATTCTCTAACCCAGCATTTCACCTGATGCCACAGGGATCTGAAACAAACTGCTGGGCTGAGCCCTTCTCAAATTTCTAACTCACAGAATTGAGAGCAAAATAAATAGTTGTTTTAAAAGCCACTAAGTTCTGGGGTGGCTTGTTAAAAAGCAGCTGATAGCCCAAAAACTATTCCAAGGCTTTAACCTTGCAGATGATACAATGGTGGCCTAGAGAGGTCACACGACTTGCTAGGGAGAGATCACATTAACCCTTTTCCTGTTTGCCCCAAGAATACTTGCCTGGCAGCACTTATGCCGGCAGTTCTTTACCTAAAGATAAGTTTGCCATGAAATATCTTGCTTTCATTTTCACAACGCTCTAGTAGATCGACTTTGGAGAGACAGACATTATTCTATTTAGAGCATTATGGTTTTAGTAGTGGTATTTCCATTTACAAAATATAGTATTTCTTGATTGCTGAAAATGTCAAATCCTAGAAAACACAGCATCTCTATGTGTGATGTTAACATCATTCTCAAATGGCTGTTGGCCAAAAAATTGTTTGATGAATCAAATTTTTCCGAAATAGATGATTCTGTTGTTAGTTCTATTTAGATACAACTCCAAGAACAGTGTTTATATTTTATTTTATTTTTATTTATTTATTTATTTCGAGACAGGGTCTCACCCTGTCATTCAGGTTGGAGTGCAGTGGTGTGATCTCAGCTCACTGCAACCTCTGCCTCCTGTGTTCAAACAATCCTCCCACCTCAGCCTCCCGAGTGGCTGGGACTACAGGTGTGTGCCACCATGCCTGGCTAATTTTTTGTACCTTTTATAGAGATGGATTTTGCCATGTTGGCCAGGCTGGTCTCAAACTCCTAGGCTCAAGCAATCCACCCCCTTTGGCCTCCCAAATTACTGGGATTACAGGCGCGAACCATCGCAATTGGCCTCTCTTTTATTTTCCACATTGAAAATCAGTCAGATTTGCTTCAGCCTCAGAAATCATGTTTATGTAAAATTAAATGAGCACTGGCAGCGAGCTGCACGTTCTTTCTCTAAACAGGAAGAGGGTTAAGGGACAAACATGGGGCTCCTACACGAGCCTTTTTAACCTCACATCCTACAGGCTTTCCATCAAAATGAGCTTCTGGGACCCTGTCATCAGGATAATTGCTTCAGATCTGCATGTTGTGTGTGCTGGCTTACAATTAGAAATGATGAGTCAGTTATGTGAATGATGTGGCAATGAATGTGCTGTGAAATTATAAGGACTAGTTGTTTGAAAAAAATATCAGAAAGATGTGACTACAATTAAAGAAATAGAATGCTTGTTTTAAAAATTCACTGAAGATTGATCACAGTTTTATTACAAGAGCTACTTCCTCTTGGAATAAAGAGAAAGATTTCCTGAGAGGGTTTAAAAGAGGAAAAAAATAATTCAGACACTTCAGACAAATACATGTGTAATAAACTTAACTTTCTTCTTTGCGAAGGAGACCAGGTTTTAGGCCTAATAATTCTTCACATCTTTGTAAATAGGACTGATTTGTGTGTGTGTTTGTATTTTTTTTTTGAGACAGGGTCTTGTTCTGTCACCCAGGCTAGAGTGCAGGTGGTGTGATCACAGCTCACTGCAGCCTCAAATTTCAGGGCTTAAGACACCCTCCCACCTCAGCCTCCTGAGTAGCTGGAACCACACGTGTGTGGCCATGACACCCAGCTAACTGAAAACAAAAATTTTAGAGATGAGGTTTTGCTGTGTTGCCCAGGCAGATCTTGAACTCCTGGGTTCATGCAATCTTCCTGCCTCAGCCTTCCCAAAGTGCTGGGATTACAGCCATGAGCCACCATGCCCAGCCTGGGACTGATTTTGTTGAAAGACTTGCGATAGAAAGAGCTGGCCTGAGGTTATGAGGGATTAGAGCCCCAAAGGTGTTGGGTTGTACCACCAATGGGAAGTCATCGAACCAAAACTAGGTATTTCTAGAGTAGAAACAACAATAACAACAAAACTATGAGATAGCAACTGAGACCAAATATATAGTAATTTTGGCATCATGAGAATCATAGAGAGGAAAAAGGAAACAAAAATATCTGAAACAAAGTTTAAAATTGGCCAGTGGTGAGTGGCAACAGGTCTGTTTCATCAGTCCCAGTCAGCTCAGGGGTTATGCTGGGAAGAAGCAATAGGTGATTTGTTGAAAATGCAGACCCTGCTGCCTCCTGTTAATTCTGCTGTGAGGCCAGAATTAACTAGAGTTGCCATTTTTATATCCTTTGTTTATTTCTTGGATAAAATTATGATGAGATGGGGGGAGGATTTCTGGACTACTCATCAAGCTCAATGCCACAGGGCGGCAAGTGCACTCCCTTCTGCTGCTAGGGCAACAATGAAAAGGGCAAAGAATAGCTCAGGGAGAACAAAAATCTCAGGCTTTCCCAGGACCTATTTAGACAGTGTGTTCCTGGAGAGACA